AACTTTGGAGAGAACAATTTGAATTGAATGATGAGGTCAGAAGTCAGACTGTGGAGAGTTAAGAAGAAAATTAGAGGAAAAAAAGCAAAGGCATCTCTTATAAATGGCTTTCTCAAAGAGTTTAGCCACAAAAAAGGGAGAAAAATGGAATCATAGCTAGTGGTAATGATTGGATCCAGTGAGGGTTTTTTGAGGATGGCATTGACATGGACATGTTTGTAGGCAATGGAAAAGGAACCAGTAAACAAGGAAGGAATGAAGATGATTAAGAAAGTAGAGGTGATAATTGAGGCAATCTGCCTGAGAAGATGGGATGAAAGGGGATCACTTGTGCAAGTAATGTGCTAAGGGGTCAAGATGGAAAAGAAGAGTGTAGCCAGTGCAAAGGTGAAGACCTGAGAAAAAACTAAGGGATCAAGGGGGTACAGATCACAGTAAGGATGAAGAGCAAAGTTTGGAATTACAAGGGAGAAGGAAAGGCTGAATAACAAAAGATTTTAATCAGATAAGGGAATTTCAGAGTTCATAAACATTGAAGAGGAGTATTTGTGGATGATGACAAGATCAAGAGTATGACCATCTCTCTGTTGCTGTAGTGGGATGGAGGAGGTCATGGGAAATGAGCAAGTTGAGAAGCTGGGAGAAAAGGGTATTTGAAGGAGTATGAATATATTGGAGACACATAGTATGAGGACAGGACTTGGTGAGGAAAGAAAGATTGTGAGCTCTGCCATCCTTCAGTGAGCCAGGCACTGAACTCATTGAGGAAAAAAGGTGAGTGTCCTAGAGGTCAGTAAAGTATTAAATATGGATTGAATGAATTGAATATCACCTCATAGGGAAGTGATGGTGGTAGAGTGAGAACCTGGCATTGGGGAACAAAGAATATTCCAACTCCCCCATCTTGATCAGTGAGACGAGAATGAGTAAAAGTACAACAGTGCTGAAAACAGTGACCACGGAGACTGTGTCATCAGGAGGGAACCAGGTCTCAGTGAGAGCCAAAAGATGAAAGTGGAAAGGAAAAGATTTAAGGTGAAAGCAGATTTGTTATCTACTAAGTAAGCCCAGGTTCCAGAGAATATACAGTGGGAGATGTGGGTAGTTTTAGAGTACAACATTGGGGACAGCGGGGAGGGTTTCTGTTCAGATGCTTGGGAATAAAGAATCAAGCAGTAAGAAATGTGGAATGGAGTTTGTATAATGAAAGCCAGGTGTGTGAAACGGACAGGGTGTGACAACTAGACTGAAACTTATTAATTATTGCTGAATGAGTTTGGAAGAATTATTAACACCACTAGGGATTCAAACTCAGAGTGGTGTTTCCCTTTCTGTGACATTCAGGCATCATCCACAGTCTGACAGCAACCTACTTCTCCAGCCTTATATTTTATTACTCCCCAATATGAACCCTCTGTTCTGACCATGGTAGTCTACTCACTGTTGTTCTGGAGCATCAGTGAATCAACAAGTATGTATTAAGAGCCTACGATGTCCCTGGTACCATGCTATGCACTGGGGATGTGAATATAAAAAATGAAATAATCTCCAAACAGAAATAGCCTATATTCTAATAAGGTAGGCAAGTACATATGTAGTTATGTATAGCATAACTGTAAAGGCAATAAATGCAAATATATATATATAATATAGCTCACTATAAGGTATTTTGGGAGGAGAGGGAATTAGCAGTTGAGCAGATCAGGAAAAGTTTCCTGTAGAAAATAGTACCTGAGCTGCTTCTTAAAGGAAGATAGAGAGAGAATCCATTAGGCAGAAGTATACTACACATTCCAACTGTGGCAATGAAGCAGTTTAAAAGCACAGACAAGAGATGGAATATACAGAAGAGAATAAAGTCCAGTTTGATGAGCACAGAGAGCAGAAGGGAGAGTAATAGCCAGTGAGGCTCAAAAAATAGGTTGGAGCCAGGGTATATAAGACTATAAAAGCTAAACAAAGGAGCTTATATTTTATCCTAGAGGTGACAGGAAGCATGTAGAGTTGACTAAGTAGGGGAACAAGGTGGGCAGATCTGTTCTAAGGAAAATCACTTTGGCAGAAGTGTGCAGGTTAACTTGGAGTTGGGAGAGACTTGAAGCAGGAAGACCAAATATAAGACTGTTGCAGTAATCTAGAGAGAGAGAGGGAATGAGAGCCTGAACAAGAAAGTAGAAAGAAGGCATTGGATACAAAGATGTTACAGGTGTAGAAGAAATGACAAGATTTGGCAACTATTTGGATTTGTAAGGTGAGGAACAATGATAAGTCCAGGATGATACCTAGGCTTTGACCTTGAACCTTTAATAAAAATAAGGAAGTTTGGAAGAGGGAAGAGCTTGAGAGGAAAGATGATTTCAATTTTGGACATGTTGAATTTAAGGTATCTCTGGGATGTCCACTTTTAATTATTCAATAGGCAATTGTTGATGTGGGACTGGAGCTCAGGGAGAGACTAGGCTGGATATATATATCTGAGCATCATCTAGATATAGTTATACCCATGCGAGTTGATAAGGTTACCAAAAAAGAGGAGGAGGAGGAGGAGGAAGAAGAAGAAGGAGAGATTTTACGTAGTGGATGCTCAAGAAGTATTTGTTGAATAAATGTATTTTTTTGAAGGTCAAATTTTCTATTCAGCTCTGGTCTTTTCCACAGGAATGCTTGAAAGTCCCCTATTTCATTGAATGACCATTTTTTACGCTGAAGGATTATACTCAGTTTTGCTGGGTAGATGATTCTAGGTTGTAGTCCTAACTCCTTTACCTTCCGGAATATCATACTCCATGCCCTCCAGACCCTTAATGTAGAAGCTGCTAAATCTTGTGTTATCCTCATTGTGTTTCCACAATACTTGATTTGTTTCTTTCTGGCTACTTTCAATATCTTCTCCTTGACCTGGGAATTCTGGAATTTGGCTACAACATTCCTAGGAGTTTTCCTTTGGGGATCTCTTTCAGGAGGTGATCGGTGGATTCTTTCAATTTCTCTTTTGCCCTCTGGTTCTAAAATATCAGGGCAGTTTTCCTTGATAATTTCTTGAAAGATGATGTCTAGGCTCTTTTTTTGATCATGGCTTTCAGATAGTCCAATAATTTTTAAGTTCTCTCTACTGGATCTATTTTCCAGGTCAGTTGTTTTTCCAGTGAGATATTTCACATTCTCTTCTATTTTTTCATTCCTTTGGATTAGTGTTACAGTGCCTTGATTTCTCAAATTGTCCCTATCTTCCAATTTCTCCATTCTGATTTTTAAGGAAGTATTTTCTTCAGTAAGCTTTTGGACTTCCTTTTGCATTTGGCCAATTTTGCTTTTAAGGGCATTCTTCTTCTCATTGGCTTTTTGGACCTCTTTTGCCATTTGGGTTAGGCTATTTTTTAAGGAGTTATTTTCTTCAGTATTTTGGGGGTCTCCTTTAGCATCACTCTCAGTTTTTCCTCAACTTCTCTTACTTGCTTCTCAAAATCTTTTTTGAGCTCTTCCGTGGCCTGGGACCAATTCATATTTTTCTTGGAGGCTTTGGATATAGGAGCTTTGGCTTCATTGTCTTCTTCTGGTTGTATGTTTTGATGTTCTTTGTCATCAAAGTAAGATAATATAGTTCGACTCTTTTTGCGCTGCTTGCTCACGATTCCGGCCAATTACTTGAGTTATAAACTCTTTGTTAAGGTAGGAATCTGTTTCCAGTGTGAAGAATGAACTGTCCCAAGCTTCAGGGGTTTTGTGCAGCTGTTTTCAGAGATATTTCTAGGGACATGTAAATTTTCAGTTCTTCCAAGGTGGTGTGATAAGGGGCGGGGTGTTTACTCCTATCCAGGCCTGTGCTCTGGTCTATGAGCACTCTTTTCTATCTTGAAACTGTGAAGAGGGTTTCCTCTCCACAGCCACTACAAGCTCCACCATGCCAGCGCTCCTTCTCGCCCCAGGACCACCACCCAGAACTGTGACCCAGATCCAATCACGGGCAAAGCAAGAGAATCCTTCACCAGCTGAGAGATCCCTGCAATCTCCCTCTAATCAGCCACTCGATTCCCCCTCAGTCTGTGAGCTGGAAGCTCAGGAGGCAGCTGCTGCCCCCACTGAGCTCGGGGACTGGAGCTGAGACCCCTGGCTTCTCTCTTTCACCACAGACACAGACTTTTCCCACTGACCTTCTAAGTTGTCTTTGGCGTTCATGGGTTGAAAAGTCTGGAAACCGCCACAGCTGCCCAAGATTCAGTCCTCTGAGGCCTGCTCCAGGCTCGCTGTGGCATGTGCGCCCACGCCACACTGTACTCCTCTCCCAGCCTGGCACAATATACCTTTGTGATCTACCATCCAGGTTATCTTGGGCTGGGAATTTGTTTCACTCTGTCTTTTTGTGGGTTCTGCTGCTCCAGAATTTATTTAGAGCCATTTTTTATAGGTATTTGGAGGGGCATGGGGGAGAGCTCAAGCAAGTCACTGCTTTTACTCTGCCATCTTGACTCTACCCCCTAAATGAATTTTTTTAAACTTAACCCAACACTACCCTTCTACTTATCTAAACCATCCTTTAAGACCCAGCTCACGTCTTGTCTTCTCCGAGCACTCTCTCCTTTCTCTGAGTTTCTGTAGTACTTATCAGTCATTAATCACATAACATGTACTCAAGTTACCTTATACTGTTAGTAAACTTTTCATGTAGATCTCACTTCATTCCACTAGATAATAAACTTCTTAAGACCTTAAACTGTGTCTCAGATGTCTCTGTCTATAGCACAGAATCAAGCACAGGTGCCAGGATGAAGAAATGACAACCAGGGCAATATAAAGAGGCTTGCCCTAAGCCGTACGACTAATCACTAGCAGAGCTGGAACTAGAATCCCATCCTAGCCATATAATGTTAACTCAGTTCAGGTCTGGTAATTAATTATGGCTTTAGCCTGAAGTCAAATGAAGCTGAGAAAATGTCTTCACTTCCATCAACTCATTTACTGTTTTTCTTTTTCTTTTCTTTTTTTTTTTTTTGTCTTTGCAGTTGACCTTCCCCTGTATTTTCCTCGAGACCAGCCTACTCTCACCTTCCAATCAGTCTACCACTTTACCAGCAGTGGACAGTTGTACTCTCAGGCCCAGAAAAATTACCCATACAGCCCACGATGGGATGGCAATGAGATGGCCAAGAGAGCAAAGTAAGTAAAATTTACTCTTCCACTCAAGTGTAGCTTTTTATCTTATCTATCCACATCCTAAAGGATCTGGAACATGAACGTACACACATATGTATGTATATGTATATATAAATATGTTTATATATCTTCAAAATTCGAAGAAGCTGTAATTTACTGTGGGTGCTGCTTCCACTGATAAAGATCACAACCCAGCTGTCATTGAGCAAAGTTTTCATGAGTCCCTATAGCCAAAAACTTCATCTCTTAGTGACTAAGGTGGCACCAAGCACCTCCCAGCTTATGGTGGCTGGTCCTTAGACAATGGATAACACTGGGATTGATCCTCTTCGAGGGACCTGCCAGAGTTGTGCTACACTAATCAGTCAGTCAATCATCAGGCATTTATTAAGCTCTTGCTTTGTGCCAGGCACTGAGCTAAACTCTGGGAATACAAAAAAAAAGCAAACAATAGCACCTGCCCTAACAGAGTCTGTATTTCAATTGGCAGGGGCAGATGGGGTGAGCAACATGTAAATTTCTAAGTACGTAGTAGCTAATATTTCTATAGCACTTATTATATGCTAAATGCTTTATAATTTTTATCTCATATACTAAAAATAATAATAGCTAATATTTCTATACTGCTTACTCTGTGCCAGGCACTGTGCTAGGTGCTTTACAATTATTGTCTCATTTGATCCTTACAAGAACTCTGAGAAGCAGGTGTTATTATTATCCCCATTTTACAGATGAGGAAAGTGAGGCAAACAGAGGTTAAGTGAATTGCCCAGGATCACACTGCTACAAAGTTTCCAAGACCAAATTTGAACTCAGATCTTCCTGCCTCCAGGCTCAGTGCTCTATACATACAGAGTACATAGAAAGTAATCTGAAAGGAGAAGGGATTAGCAACTGGGGAAAATCAAAAAGGCCTCCTGTGGAAGGTAGATCCTAATTTGGGTCTTGAAGGAAGTCAGGGAAAGTAAGAGGTAGGGATGAGGAATTAGGTCTGGGGGACAGTTTGTACAAAGGCATAGAGAGGAATTGGAATGTTGTGTACAAGGAACACATCATAGTTGCACTTAGCTATATTATGGAGAGCACATGGAAGGGAGAATGGTATAAAAAGATTGTAAAGGTAGGAAGAGGCCAGGTTGTAGAAGGTTTTAAATACCAAACAGAGGACTTTATATTGATCCTGGAGGCAACAGAGAACCACTGGACCTTATTGTGGTTGGAGATGGTAACCCCACTCCGCAGGAGTGATATCATTAGATCTGTGCTTTGGAAAGGAGCAGCTAAGTGGCAAGGCAGATAGAGTGCTGGGCCTAGAGTCAGGAAGACTCATCTTCCTGAGTTCAAATCTGTCCTCAGACATTTACTGGCTGGGCAAGTCACTTAAACTGTTTGCCTCAGTTCCTTGTTTGTAAAAATGAACTGGAGAAGTAAATGGCAAACCACTCTAGTATTTTTGCCAAGAAAATCCCAAATTAGGTCGTAGAGAGTCAGACATGACTGAAAAACTACTTCATATAACATAACATAACATGCTTAGGAAAAATCATCTTGACAGTTGAGTGGAGGATGGATTGAAGAAAGGAGAGGCATGAAGCAAGGAGAGCAGTTAGAAGGCTCTTGTGCTAGTTGAGGCAAAAAAATAATGAGGGCTTGTATGAGTAGCTATATAAGTGTAGAGAAGGGATGTATAGAAGAGATGTTATAAAGGGAGAAACAGCTAGATTTGACAGTGGAATGGATATGTGGCATGAGTAAGAGTGAGGAATTTATGACACTATGTTTATGGTCTTGAGTGAATAGGAGGATTGTGGTATCCTCAGCAGTGATAGGGAAATTCAGAAGTGATAATTGTTTAGGGAGAAAAATAATGAATTCTGTTTCATACATGTTGAATTTGAGATGTATATCCAAGAGGCAGCTGGAGATGTGTATATAGCTCAGGAGAGAGACTAGGGCTGGTTATTTAGAGGTGAAAATCATCTGTATAGAGGTGATAATTGAACTCATGGAAGCCACTGAGATCACCAATCAAGCAAAATAGAGCAAATAGAGATAAAGAAAAAAAAAAGGTGGTGGATACCAAAGAAGGTGGTTATGACAGCAAAGGCAACTGAAAAGGAATGGTCAGACATAAAAGAACCAGTAAAGATTAATGTCACAAAAACCTAGAGAGGAGAGACTATCCAGGAGAAGAGGATCAGACGTGAAGCAAAACATCAGTATCAAATGTTTCAGAAAGGTTAAGGAGAATCAAGATTGAGAAAAATTGGCCATCAGATTTGCCAATTAAAAGATCAGTGGAAACTTTGGAGAGAGTAGCTTCAGTTGAACACTCAGGTTGGAAACCAGATTGCCAAGGATTTAGAAGAGACGAAGAGGAGAGAAAATGGAGGCACCAATTGTAGGCAACTTTTTCGAGTTTAGCCACAAAGGAGAGGAGAAATATAGGATGATAGCTAATAGGGATGAATAGATCAAGTGACAATTTTTTTTAAAATGAGGGAAATACAGGAGTTTGTAGGCAGCAGAGAAAAATCCAGCATAAAGTGAAAAATTTAAGAAAGAGAGAAAATTTGACAAAATGCAACACCCATTCCTATTAAAAACACTAGAGAACATAGGAATAAATGGAGATTTCCTTAAAATGACAAGTAGTACCTATCTAAAACCATCAACAAACATTGTCTATAATGGGAATAAACTAGAAGCCTTCCCAGTAAGATCAGGAGTGAAGCAAGGTTGTCCATTATCACCTCTGTTATTCAATATTGTATTTAAAATGCTATCTATAGCAATAAGAGAAGAAAAGAAATTAAAGAAATTAGAATAGGCAATGAGAAAACAAAAGTATCACTCTTTGCAGATGATATGATGTACTTAGAGAATCAACTAAAAACTAATTGAAATAATTAACAACTGTCAAAGTTACAGGCTATAAAATAAGCTCACATAAATCATCAGCATGTCTATATATTACCAACAAAGTCCAGCAAGAAGAAATAGAAAGAGAAATTCCATTTAAAACAACTGTAGACTGTATGAAATACTTGGGAGTCTGCCTGCCAAGACAAACCTGGGAAGTATATGAACACAATTACAAAACACTTCTCAGACAAATAAAGTCAGATCTAAGCAATTGGAAAAATATTAATTGCTCATGAGTAGGCTGAGCTGATACAATAAAAATGACAGTTCTACCTAAATTAATCTACTTATTCAGTGCCATACCAATCAAACTACCAAAAAATATTTTGTAGAACTAGAAAAAATAATAACAAAACTCATCTGGAAGAATAAAAGGTTAAGAATATCAAGGGAATCAATAAAAAAAATGTGAAGGAATTTGACCTCCCCATACCAAATCTCAGACTTTATTAAAAAGCAGTCATCATCTAAACAAATCTGGTACTGCCTAAGAAAGAGAGTGGTGGATCAGTGGAATAGGTTAGGTTCACAGTACATTATAGTAAATGACTATAGTCATTTACTGTTTGATAAGCCCAAAGATCTAAACCTTAGGGACAAAAACTGCTGGGAACACTGGAAAACAGTATGGCAGAAACTAGGTAGAGACCAACATCTCACACCATATACCAAGATAAAGTCAAAATGGGTACATGATTTAGACATAAAGGGTGATTCCATAAGAAAATTAGGAGAGCATGGAATAGTTTACCTGTCAAATCTACGGATAAGGGACGAATTTATGACCAAACAAGATATAGAGAGCATTGCAAAATATAAAATGGGTAATTTTAATTATATAAAATTAAAAAGCTTTTGCAGAAACAAATCACATGGAGTAGTGATGTCAAACTGGAATGGAAACGGGGACCACTAATCTATACATAGGGATCCTTACAAGCCACTTATAGACTTAGTTTTAAAATGTAATGTTATCTTTGTTTTATTGTATTTTTATTTATTTTGTTAAATATACCAGATTAGACTTTAATCTGGTTTAAGGACATTAAGGGCCTGTATGTTCAAGACATCTAGCATAGAGGGAGAAGAGAAGAGAGCCTGTGAGAGAGCTCTTTGGAAAGGCATGAAAGTAGGAAGAAGAATTAGTCAAGAAGACTGAGAATGAGCAGTCAGAAAGGTAGGAGTAGAGAAGGAAAAAGTAGGGTCAACAACTAGAGAGAAGAGAACATCAAGTTGAAGAGGATGATCAGCAGTGTCAGAAGCTGCAGAGAGATCAAGAAGGATGTTGACTGAGAAAAGGACATCAAATTTGGCAATTGAGAGATCATTAGTAACTTTGGGGAAAGCCATTCCAGTTGAATGATGAGGTTGGAAGTCGGATTGTAGACAGTTAAAAGAGTGAGAAGAAAGGCAGTGGAGGCATCTGTTGTTTGTAGTTAGTAGGGGAACAGCCAGTTGACAGGGAGAGATTAAAGATAAAAGAGTGGGGATGACAAGGAGTGACCTGCCAGAAAAGACAGCATGTCATGGGATCCCTTGTGCAAGTAGAGGGAATTGCCTTGTCAAAAAGGGTCACGTCATTTTGTGAGACTGGGCCACAGTAGCAAAAAGCATCTTCGTGATGTGAGATGAAGAGGAGAATAGAAGGGAGAGATCTTGATGAATGGCCTTTTTTTTTTTCTTTCAGTAGGAAAAGGTTTTTTTTGTTTGGTTTTTGTTTGTTTGGTTTTTTTTGTTTTGTTTTGTTTTCAGTAGGAAACAGTTCTCAATCTGAAATGGTTAAGGGAGAGAGAGTTGTGGGAAGTTTGAAGATGAATGAAAAGGTCATCTAGTCCAGCCTTTTCATTTTACAGAGGAGGAAATGAAGCTCAAAGGTGTTAAGTGACTTGTCCAAGTTACATGGCTAAGATGTGTGTGAGGTTAGATTTTAACCCTAGTAGTCCTGATTTCAAGCACAGTGCTTTATCCACTTTTATATTTATGTACTGTTCAAAGGTCCTAAACCTGGCAGAAAATTTACTAATTTGCTGCCTAATTTAGGATCTTCAAAGTTGTCTTGGCAGGGGAGTTACAGTTTG